TTTTTCTATTCATATTATAAATTTAAGAATTAGTTTGGCAGCTGACAGAATTTTAATAATTGTTTGTTTTTATATAGAAAATGATATTTAGGATTTTTCTATTCCTATTATAGATTTAAGAATTAGTGTGGCAGTTGACAGAATTTTAATAATTGTTTGTTTGTTTCTATATAGAAACTAATATTTTGGATTTTTCTATTTATATTGTAATATAGCAGAAGTGAATTGCACAAAATGTTTTGTTGAATATTTTAGATGAAATTGTAAGTGTGCTACTTATTTGATACCTATATCCTTTGCTAAAAAACATTCATATGCAGTGTGATTTTCTTTTATTTTAGATGGGAAATTCAGGAGAATTACTATCCTCAGTTAATTCACAGGACTCTTCTTCCTTGATCCAACAGGTCATGCTTCCAGATGAACAGGTAGTTGAAGAATTAGATAGTAATGAACCAGGAGTAAGAGAACTTGGAGAACATCAAGTTTACCTGGCAACGTGATAATTGTTCAGAATCCTGATGGAACCACTACATTACAAATCCCTAGTGACCAGTCAATCCCCTTGGAGACATTACAAGCTTTGCTAGCAATGGATCAGAACTTATCGGAATTTCTTGGAGGAAACTTAAAGCAACAAGAACAACAAAGCTCATAAATTATTTAAACTGTAAAATATAGCTTGTTTTGTACACCCTTTAAGACAAACAGGTTTATGTATAGTACTAATTTTCCTACATTTATCAGCGTGTACAGATGTTCTTTGTTTTATAATTTATGTATGTATTGTTCTTTTGAGGCAAAACTCTTTTGTACTTCAACAACACTATAGTATATTTGTATTGATTAAAACTGAACTGAACTTCAACAAACACCACAGAAACTTCGTTACTCACTATATTATTAAAATATATTTGAGGTAAAAGTAGTGTATATGCATATCAATAACAAAGAGCTGAATATTTTTAACTTTTATGTTTTGTATAGAGCTGAAGTATCAGTTAGTTATGAAGGTCTGTGGAAGATGCACACATGCTGATAGTTGAATTTTTTTTTATTATCCTGTAATTGTTGTTTGTTCTTAGTATTTTTTTTTTTAAAGAAATTCTACTTGAAAAAAATGTGTGGTATTATTTGTATATGAAACATTGGAGACAATTATAATATTGTAAAATGGTTTTGGTTGCCAAAACATTTGGTGGCTAGTATGCAAAAAGTACTTGAAAACTTCTTTTTTTTTTTGCCCAAAGCAGACAGTTTCTGTGTGAGTGCTCATTTTCATAGGGGAATATTTTACACGGAATGGAAAGACACTAGGATTTTTCACACACACTGGGGATTTGGATGCTTCAAAAGAGTGATGGTCAAATACCACTATTTGATTAGTCCATGAGTTGGCAATAGGTGGTTTTGACTAGCTGTCTTCCTTCTAGTCTATCACAAAATAATTAGAGTTGGCACAGATAGCTCACAAATAAATGCGAAATTTGTCAAAAAACAATCTACATTTAATTTCTGTAGTGCATATTAGTGTATAGAAGACATATTAATACTAGAAATAAACGACCCTATAAAAGTTTTGGTTTGTGTTACAGTGAACGCTTTTGAAGAAGCTGTAACAGCGAAACGTTGAGTATTTAGTTAAATAAAAACATTTTGGTGTTATAAGTTCGTTTATTTCTAGTATTAAAAACAGTCTGTGTGTATTTTTCCTTACATTAGATTACAGTGGATAAAATACCTTTGGTTAAAAAATATATATATGCAAACATAGTATGGTTATTAATAATGTATTTTTTTCTCTGCAGCATGGTCTGTTCTATTGAAATAATGCCATTCCCTTTATCTTGGTGGGTGACGATGAGGGCACTGTATATGGAGACAGCGATTTCCTGTTACACCAAATTTCACATTGAATCATCCACATGTATCATGTGACAGGATAACTTAATGTACAACTCCAATGATAAAACTGGATTGTCACACTTGTCCTAGGGAATACTCATAGTAAATACGTAAAATATACTTTTTACGTCATTAAGAGAACAATACAAGCAGAATACATTTTATGCAGCGTTTTAATTTTAATGTGTGAAAAAATTAACTCATTTATAATTTTGTGACTTCATCTTGATCCGCCTAATGCACCGAGTATTCTGGTATACTGTAGTATGGGCGTCCACAGAATATATTCCAGGTGGGACAAAACCCACAGCCTGCGAACACGGTTATAGTATCGTTTTCTAAGGTTGTTAGTATTGTTACAAAAAAACAACAACAACAAACGTTTATATCGCTGTAACAATCGTATCATGTTTATACAAGTCTGTAATGCAAAATAGCTCAGTGTTCGTGTTCATTTACTTTTTAAACTGTAGATTCAAGCCTTAACTATCGTTTGAATATCCTAGTCCTAACTTCCAGTGTGTCCGAAAAAAGCAGAAAATTCAGCACTTCCTAAAAGTTTTGTTGAGGCGTAATCAACTTTTTCTCACTTTCTTATTTACAAAATAATGTTCCCAGATTAAATTCGTTATCTTTCTTAAACGGATGACGTATTGATACCAGAATGCTGCTTGCGTTTCTTGGAAACAAAAAACCCGTTAGAATTCAATCTATTGTTCTATCTGTACGTCATTTGATTAAGAACGATGTCGTACAGTTGACGTGAAGTACTAATACAGAGAACAGCCAATCTGAGAGCACTATATACGAATGTGTGTATTTATAATGACAGTTAGATTTTATTTATCGGATTTGGTGTAAAACTATTCGAAGACTATACACGTTTACAGTCGATATCATAACATGTTATACGAATAAAACTGACTAACCAGGTTATAATTACATGATTTAAATATAAAACAAGAACCCTACTTGTCAATTCTCCAAATAACTGGATGCAGATACACATTTTGATCGATAATAATATTCTAGCTCTAACTGTGATAATTATCCTATTTTTACTCAATATTATACTACGCTTGAATAAGTTTGTATCGTTACACGAATAGTAATCGATAACCCATCATTGATTTTCAGCACATTAAAAATAAATTTGAATTTTCAACCTAAAGCCTAAACATGAATTCTTTCTGCAATTAACTTTACTTTTATAACAATTTTAAGCCAAGTAGTGTCCAATTCCTTGACGGTTTTCGACGTTTAAATAGCATTTCGTATTTGTGAGTTTTTTTGTTTCTAATTACAAATAAATAAAACGACCGTGAATTCCAGAGAATGGCGGTTATTTTATATTTATTTGTAATTATGTGTACTATGCTCTAGTATCAGCAGATGAGTTCTGGTTTTTAACGAATACATATTGGCATTGACTTGTGGGAGACAAATGATAGATCTGAAATGCTTTTTTCATAAACTATGCATGGCCAGGTGGTTAGGGCACTCGACTCGCAATCTGAGAGTCGCGGGTTCGAATCCCCGTCACACCAACATGCTCACCCTTTCAGCCGTGGGGGCGTTATAATGTGACGGTCAATCCCACTATTCGTTAGTAAAAGAGTAGCCCAAGAGTTGGCGGTGGTTGGTGATAACTAGCTGCCTTCCCTCTAGTCTTATACTACTAAATTAGGGACGGCTAGTGCAGATAGCCCTCGTGTAGCTTTGCGCGAAATTCAAAAACAAACAAACAATCACAAACTATGTAATATTGAGCCCCAATGGACGAATTAAGAGGAATGTGAAAAACAAAACATCTGCAACTTGATTTTTACTAAACATATTAGGCTTATTGATTTCCAATATCTTGCCGGGTTTGGGCGTTTAAACTTCATTCTAAATACCTAAACTTTTAAATCATATCTTCTTTACACTCAGGTTAAGTAGTTAGCATACAGGATCACCTACAAAAAGTTGTAATATTTTCAAAACTCGAACGTTTTCGAATAGTTCCCTATTCTTTTTCAAATACCACTGTCAGCACATACTAACGGTATTTACGGAACACTAGAAACGCTGCCTCTCTCTCTATAGATGTATTAACCACATCTGTGTAATATTTAATTCACAATTCCTACACTAATTTTTAATAATCACTTTATTAGATTCAACAAGGAGGTGAAATGCTTCACAGAAGCTTCTTTAAATATAATTGGATTCACACTGTTTCTTATTAATGTGAATAAACTAACGACCTATATCTCCATAGTGTATCTATATTGGCTCAATATTTCGCTATTACGGCTTCGTCAGGAGATTTTGACAATATGTGTTCGTATGTTTGACTAGGCTTGTTTTTTAAATCACAGCCCTCGTAGCCAAAATGTATTTCCCATTTACATCTTATTTAGAGCTAGACAGTTGAAATATGGTAATCATATGATCACTAAATACGAAAATAAAAAAATCATTAATACTCTTTCACTATTCTTTAATTGTTCTTTAAGAAAGTCTCTACAGCAAAAATATTGTATGTTTGTTTGTTTGTAATTAAGCGCAAAGCTACAAAATGGGCTATCTGTGCTCTGCCCACCACGGGTATCGAAACCCGGATTCCAGCGTCGTAAGTCATATGTATAAGTAATTTTTTTAATTTTAGTAGAAGAAAATAAATAGGAATAATGTGAACTCTTTAAGAAAGTGGATGATTTGAAAACAGAATAGTCAACAATAATATGTTAACATCCAGACATTGGCCGCATTGATTATACTAGATGAAACATTGGCTACCTCTTTAGTATGAGTTTAAAAAGGTACCTTACATTTTATTATTTTTTATTGAAATGGATAGTTATACAGTTTTTAAAATATCTTATATGAAATCCAGTATTTTACAAGTATTTCTTTACATAGCATTAATGACAACAAGGTATAACCATTGGTATATCACAACTGAATATTTGTTTGAGATCATGTGTGGTATTTAACAATTTTACTATTCATCACAATCGACAGATGGCGATACGGTAAATGTAATTTTTGAATCTGTATTTACTTTATTCTTTCTGCAACCTGTTAAAATGAGATATTACGATGAATGTCGGTTGAAGCATCACGTTTGATTCTTCAATTTATCCATTCCATGTACCATGAAGCATATGATTCTTAGGTTAACTTACCTTTTGTAAAGAGCTAACAGTTTCTCACAGTTCAATAATCAAAAACTTGTCACATCGGACAAAAACTTCTTTCTGTGCATTTTGCTTTCATGGTTCTATTCCTTTTTGCCTCTGATACTATGGCGTATTCAATCACTCCATTATGTTCCATGTACTTATAAAAACTCTAGCAGCAGCTGCTGCAACCCAAATTCAGGATTTCAACTTTTTTCATCCCTGAGTACGTATAAAGGAGATTAGGAAAATCTATATTCCATTCACAGCCTCTTCCCTTTTTAGAACGGAAGCGCCCTCTTGAGACCTAATACTCGTGGCTTAACTTTATTTAGATTTATCTACAAAGCCATGAAACATTCGGATTCTGACCTAGTTAATTTTCCCAACTACTCCCTCCAACATTCTTCTGACTTATAATCGTATCAGATCCCCTTTCACCTTCTTCATCTGAATGAAAGGAATTAGGAATGTCTGCTCCCACTGAACGACTGGGAAACTTTATCCTCTATATTGTGATCATTATGCTTGTGATCTTCCTGTATTTTACTTTTGGAAATCCTTTGTACCTATATATATATATATATATATATTTGTGATCAGAAATCTTTACTTACTTATTTTGACAAAGGATCATATTAATTAAAAATATATTTTATTAATAATAACGCTTTAGAAAGGAAATTCTCATTGTCAAATAAAGCCCAAGTTTAAGATGGCAACAATATGTATCAACTTTTGAAATTTAAAAAACAACTATTTTGAAGTATTCAGTATTTATAACATCTTTTACAGCTTTACAAAACATATTAATAGCCATAGCAACAGAGAATATATCCTTAACTGGATTATTTAGTTCCAATTACCATATTAAGTCTAAAAATTCATTGTATTCTATGTGCTAAATTTCCCAATCTAAAAAGAATTAATGGCAGTGTTATTTAAAAGCCCCCTGACCTCCTAATTTTGACCTGTCAGACTAGAGGGAAGGCAGCTAGTCAACAGCGCTCACCGCCAGTTCTTGAAGTGCTCTTGCCTGACCGAAAAGTAGCATTTCATTTTTATAGAGCATTCTCGACCTCATAGTGTGGAGCGATGCGCCTCGAACCATGAACCCTCGGGCTCACAGTTCAACTACACTAAACCACTGGGTCTTTTCAGTTTTCACTTCCTCATAATCTTAATGTTATTCAAAAATAGAGATTAAAACCATCTTGTAAGTTTTTTCTCAATAATATAAATTTCATTGTTTTGTCCCAATATAATTGCCTTTATTTCTAGGCTGAGCATTAGTAGGATACAACATACACGTGGAAAAGTCTAAATGCTATTTTTAGATGTTGGTGGAGTTCTTTCTTCCGTATTACCTTTTTGTTTTTAATCCGAATCTTTGGATTCGCTTTAGCCTCAAAAGAATTAAAATTACTGTCGCTGTGGCTCTAATTCTGTTTTGAATAACAAATGAATTGGCCGAAATTGGTTTAGAGAACTGTCTTTCGAGGACTTTGTAGAAACTTCAAATTCCAATGACGAATGCGAAATTGCATCCTAATATAGGTTGTATGAACCATAGGTCTAACATGTGTTCAAGTGATAGATTGGTTGATCCTAAAATCTAGGTCTAACGAAGATATTTAACAAAGTAGACTAAAAT